TAGCTTCAAAAAAATTATGTACTTTCAAAAAAAGCTTACCACAAATATTATTACAGTAATTAATACCAAACATTGAGACACTAGCTTTCTAAATTTTAAAATAAGTAAACTAAAAAATGCAAAGGAGGAATTTATAATAAAATAGAGTGCAAATAAAAAATCATATATTAAAATACCAGGCTTCAAATCTATCGGAAAGTTTCTAACTGTGAATTTTACACTCTTATTTAAATAGTATTATAAAATCTGTTAGCATCATATCTATCCCTTGTCATATAAACAAATGTTTAGATATCATTCAAAATTTAAGGACATTAATACAGTAATTAAAAAATGTTATAAAAAGTAATATATCTAGAAACGCCAAAAAAATAATTATAATATATAATCACTTAAGCAGCCAAACTCGCTTAAATCAATATTGAATGATTTAATAATGTGTTTTAATTATATAAAAAAAAATATTTGGTTGTATTTTTTTTAAAACATTTCTTTAAGTATATTCACATTTGAATATTGTTTTAAAAAAAGGCTAATACATATTTAATTAATAAGATACAATTTTTAATTCTAATGAAGAAGAATGAAAATTAATATGATCAGTGGTTAATTAGAAGGCAAAAATGTTGAAATTATAAAGAAAAAGGCTGTCAATTTTCTGAACATACTGTGTAATAAATTTCAGAAATATCTGAAAGGGTATTTCTGAAATATGTTACATGAAGTTTTAAGATGGAATTCTCATCTTAAATTATTGTACAGCTGAAAAAGCATCAGAGTAGTGATTTTTTCACCTTTAAAGTTTTGAGTACACCTATTATTTCTACATTTTTTTTTATTTTGCCTCTCAAGTTCATTGCTTTTTTCTTTCTAAGTTGATACCTCAAAAGAAGAATTCACTCTGTCTATTTTCCTCATTAGTCAAGAGATTCAAATATATAGACCTCCATTACTGAAAGATATTTTTGATAAACTATGGCTAATTAAGATTTTAAATGGGTTGAAATTTTTTTTGCAGTTTGTTCCTCATCTTATTAATTATTGAAGAAGTAAAATTTAAGCTACAATAAAGAATCTCTATCCAAAATAGAGTAAGATCGAAAAATACATTAAAGAGTTTCTTGAAATCTTATTTAAATAAATAAATTAAATTTAATTACATAATTAAACTGAAAGAAATCAATAACATAATTTCAAAATTATTTTATAAAATGAAAATAAATAAAGCTTTAAAGAATTGTATTAAAAATAATTTAGATTTAAGATTTTTGTTAATTTTCTATTCTAATAAATATCATTTTTATAATAATTCATATGATAAATATTTATTTTATTTGCCTTCCCAAAATACTAAATATTATGCATTATCTGTCATGGTCCCATAAATATAATGAGAGGAACAATTTAATGATCCTATAATCTTAAAACTGCCTTCATTTACTTTACTAATAATATAAATATGATATTTATGTCTAACCAATAACATATTTTTATCATTATTATAAATAATCTGGAAATTTAACCAATCATCCTCACATAATTCATTTGTATTTAATTTTATATTTTTGTCATAATTCTATTTGAAAATTCCGTCCTACAATTCAAAAATCAAAATTTAATCAATATTCTTACCATTTGTTACCCAAAGAAATTATTAATCACTTATAAAATATATTTTGTATCCTTTAATAATTTCTTATTTACAAGTTAATTCCCATTCCTCATTTGCACCTTTCTTCCATATTAAATACCGATATTATGCACATGATGCCAACATAGTTTCAGATTAATTTAGACTTAATGAATAGACAACTGCAGTATTATTCAAAGAATAAAGATAAATTAGTTCATTCTTTATAATATCTAAATTCCAGACTTTAATTGAATCATCTCTACCACCTGATATGAGTTGATCCTCTTGTTTATTTAATATTAAACATTAAATCTAATTAGAATGTTATTAGTAAGGTTATGACCAATCCCATAAATTGTTCTGAATCTATTTCCAGCAGATGATTGAATTATCCTTAGATCCAGAAATAAAGTAATTCATTTTTTTGCTATAAACTAAACAATTAATATAATCTTTATGCACTTCAAATTTATTAGATAATTCTAACTTTCCTTATGTAAAATTCCAAACTATAATATTTTTGCTATGACTTGATATCATAATTGATCCGGTATTATTAAATACAATTGCTCTACAAAAATCCGTCTATTGATTGAAATCATCAATTAGCTTAAATTCAAGATTAGATTATTTTAATAGAATATTATCAATTTGTTATGATCCTTGAATTGTATTAATTTACTTTATTGAATCTTATTATTAATTGATACTTTCTAAATTTACTAATAATTATTCACATTTCCTTGACAATTCGAATTATTTAAATTGATTCAACCTACTAATTAACTTTTGATTCCAAGAGTGATTAATTTTGTTGATTGAATGAATTAAAGGTTTTTAATCAAATTATTCAATTTTAACTTAATTAACTAGATTATCCAATTATTCAAAGAAACTATAATTGGCATTCTATTATCCAATTAATTATAAAGATTAAATCCATTCATTAGTATTCCAGATCAATTAATCTAATTATTAGATGATAAATGATTTCAATTAAAGTAATGTTTTTTAAGTTTCATCAATGTATTTTATATTCATCATTATAATGTTTTCAACTGATTATACCTTTTTCTTTTAATTTTCTTCAATTAATAAAGCAACCTTTTTAAAACTCATTACATTGTTTAAATTAGATTCTAAATTATCCATACATTCATTGCATAATAGTCTTTTATTTTTCTCTACACTTTTATCACAAACAACCATATAAATTGGAAGTTTATGATTCATTGAACAGACAAGTTCTTCTTCTTTTTCTACCATTTTTTATTGTATCATATTTAATTAAATATTAATATTAATTATTAATTAAAAGATAAATGAATATCATCAGTTTCAAAGCCTATTAGAATAATCAGTGGTTATATTAAAATAAGATTACAATTTTAAGTGTCCTCCTAATAAAAGAGGGCTGCAACAGTTTATATCTAAAATACTTATATTTAATTATGAAATCCTTTTGCTAAGTAATGATAGTTTTAAATTATTTTTTATCATATACTCAGATTCTATTTTATAATTTAATTTATCTTGAAATTCTATCGGCATAATCTATGCAATTAGCAGAATGAAAAAATCAAACACTGATTTTTTTAATAATGAATAATTAGTATCAAATAGTTAATATTTTGAAAAATCGGTACACAGTAGACAAATTTCTTAAAAATTACCACTTTCAATGGATATAGATCAGAATAATCATATTGAAGTTGTTTAGATTAACTAAGTTCTTTTTAAAATTGGTTTAAGTGTAATAGAAATTTGAAACACCTACGAATTTGATGCAATCAAAAAATTGTTGTTTAGCAATTTACCCACATATTTACTATCTATATAATAATAAATGGGTTTGAAAATATATTATGATCTGGTATTAAGTTCATGGCAAGTATCTAAATAAAGTAATATTATTGAATTATATTAATTATCTAAAAATATCTTACAAGTTTGGTATAGTTTAATGAAAATATTTAGAAACAATTATCCATCGAGACTAGGATTCACAAGTATTAGGCTATTTATGTTATGATCTTTATATTCTATCTAAACAATAAAATAACTGAAATAACATTGAAAACATGTTATATAATCTCAAATCTGTTTTACATAAACAAAAGTTTAATTAAAACTTAATTACTATCTACAAAAATTATATAGTAATTCTAATACTATTCACAAGATGACACACAGGTCCTATTTCTTATTAATTCCCTTAAATAAAATATAGAATCGATATATCTGCAATATGTTTACAAAATGTTATATAACTAATCAATTAAAAAAAAATAACCCTGCACCCTCATCCTTTTTTCATTTCTTTTATCTACTAATTATTTCCAAATTATTTGAAGCCGTTTTTACCGAAATTTAATCCCTTATTACTTCTTTAGATAATCGAATCAATCTCAAAATCAAATATTGCTTTATATTATTCATTATTCATCTAAACATTTCTTTATTTAAATCCACTACCTTTGCGTGATTCAATTTTACTTTTTTTATTAAGAGAGTTTTTTATTTCATCACATACAAGAATATCAATAAGTAAGGAACATTAACTCTTAATCAATAACTTTTGTAAAAATATAAAAATAAACTAATAAATAAAATGTTATATAATTTGATGATTACGTTGTGAAAATCAAGAATTAATCAAACTACTAAATAAAATAACTTTTAAATTGAAATAAGCTAAAATGATAATTTCTTTACTATTAATACATAAATTATTGAAGTTCTATTTCACCTAGTTTTTCATCTCATTTTATAAAAGATGATTAATTTTAATAATATTTCATCTTTTTAAGAAAAAAGTGTTTGAATTTTATTATTCATAATCAACCCAAAATTGTATTCAAATCCAAATAAACTATAAATTAAATCTTTTATAATTTCAATACAATATGTTTAATAACCTATTTATTCAAAACATGTTGATTCTTTCTCATTCATATAAATATTAACTATGTATAAGTTCACTTCCCTTTTAGTAAATATTATTCTAATACTTTTATGTAAATAATGGAGATATGGCCTACTTTAGCTGTCCATTCAAGTAAAAAATAGCAAAGTTTATTATTTAAACTGTAGCTCATTAAAGCTATACTACTCAAAATAGTAAATATCCATCATTAAATTAAATCATCATTTAATAAAGGGTATTTTTCTATTTTAGAATATATTTTCAAGGTCTAAATACATGGTCATCTGAAACAGTTATTCTAACTATTATCTGATTCCAATTGAATTTTGTGATACCATTGTTTATCAAGTTAGATCTTTTTAGTTTATAAAGAAAATGTAAATATCAATTCTGGTTAGTTGTAGTTTACATCATCTAATACAAATAATGGATAAGTTTCATTTATAAATTTATTTGATTCTGCTTTGAAATGTAATCAATCATGTAAATAATATTAAGGACCAAAATCAATTAATTTACAAGTTGGTTTATTATATATGAGCCATTACATTTAGATAAACCTAAAAAGATAATTCATTCTTATTTAACGGGGTTTTTAAGTTAAGTATTTATTTTGTTGTGTTTGAAATTGCAGTTTTAAATAAATATGAAGCTTACCTTAATTGTGGAATATAGTTTTTGATTATGGAAGTAATAAATTCAATATCTAATTTTTTAGGTATTACTAGAGAATTAAAATAAATAATAAATTGAACCTAACCTAACAACCCTATAATAATAATAACATTTATTTTTGGTTCAATATTTAGAAATAAATCAAAATTTAAAAGACATAATACTCAAATCTATCTAACTAAAAGCTACAAATATTTGTTATCCTTATGTAAAATTTAATACTTCTTTAATATTTTGGAAAGCATTTTCTTTTGAAGAAAACTGTAACCTTATATCTCATTTAGTTGATGAATTTATTTAATTAAATAGCACATATGTCTATTTGTTAGTTGAAGTTATTTCTGAAAAATTATATTATTATTTTAAATTTAAATTAATATTTAAAAAAATGAAATATTATTTTCTTCTTTTTATTGAATCAATAATTTAAGAATACTTTTTGAAAAAAATGAGGGAAAGTAAGTATTAGAGTTTCAGAGTTCAAGCAAAGTTGATAAAACAGAATTATAACCAACTTTAGTGATGATTATCAGTATTTTAAAAAAACTAGTCAAGCCCATAAAAGAATTGAATAATGAGGTAAAGTTTTAGAAATTTAAAGATTTAATTGAAATAAAAAGACTATATTTTCACTCTTTCAAAGAAAAAAGATAATAAAGTAGCATTCTAAGATTTAGAACTGTAAAATACTCAATCATTTAACTTGATTACTGATTATTTTAGATAACAGGCAAACTATTAGCAGTTATAATTCACCATTGCTAATTTAAACAGGAGCACAATTAGGATCAAGTTTTAGGGCTGAACAATAATCATTAAATGCCTTTTCTTTATCACCTATTTCTTCATATAATACACCTAATCTAGAGTTTATAAATCACCTCTCCGTAAAAAGGCTTAAGATAATTGAGAATCAAGTAGTATTGCCTAATTATAATCACTCAATGCATTTTCTCTATTTCCCATTTCTTCATATAGTAAACCTAATCTAAAGTTTAATATATCACCTCTTCTTAGAAAGGCTTAAGATAATTGAGGATCATGTAATATTGCTTAATTATAATCACTTAATGCATTTTCTCTATTTCCCATTCCTTCATATAATAAACCTAATCTAGAGTTTATAAATCACCTCTCCTTATAAAGGCTTAAGATAATTGAGGATCAAGTAATATTGCTTAATTATAATCACTTAATGCATTTTCTCTATTTCCCATTTCTTCATATAATACACCTAATCTAGAGTTTATANTCTAACTATTATCTGATTCCAATTGAATTTTGTGATACCATTGTTTATCAAGTTAGATCTTTTTAGTTTATAAAGAAAATGTAAATATCAATTCTGGTTAGTTGTAGTTTACATCATCTAATACAAATAATGGATAAGTTTCATTTATAAATTTATTTGATTCTGCTTTGAAATGTAATCAATCATGTAAATAATATTAAGGACCAAAATCAATTAATTTACAAGTTGGTTTATTATATATGAGCCATTACATTTAGATAAACCTAAAAAGATAATTCATTCTTATTTAACGGGGTTTTTAAGTTAAGTATTTATTTTGTTGTGTTTGAAATTGCAGTTTTAAATAAATATGAAGCTTACCTTAATTGTGGAATATAGTTTTTGATTATGGAAGTAATAAATTCAATATCTAATTTTTTAGGTATTACTAGAGAATTAAAATAAATAATAAATTGAACCTAACCTAACAACCCTATAATAATAATAACATTTATTTTTGGTTCAATATTTAGAAATAAATCAAAATTTAAAAGACATAATACTCAAATCTATCTAACTAAAAGCTACAAATATTTGTTATCCTTATGTAAAATTTAATACTTCTTTAATATTTTGGAAAGCATTTTCTTTTGAAGAAAACTGTAACCTTATATCTCATTTAGTTGATGAATTTATTTAATTAAATAGCACATATGTCTATTTGTTAGTTGAAGTTATTTCTGAAAAATTATATTATTATTTTAAATTTAAATTAATATTTAAAAAAATGAAATATTATTTTCTTCTTTTTATTGAATCAATAATTTAAGAATACTTTTTGAAAAAAATGAGGGAAAGTAAGTATTAGAGTTTCAGAGTTCAAGCAAAGTTGATAAAACAGAATTATAACCAACTTTAGTGATGATTATCAGTATTTTAAAAAAACTAGTCAAGCCCATAAAAGAATTGAATAATGAGGTAAAGTTTTAGAAATTTAAAGATTTAATTGAAATAAAAAGACTATATTTTCACTCTTTCAAAGAAAAAAGATAATAAAGTAGCATTCTAAGATTTAGAACTGTAAAATACTCAATCATTTAACTTGATTACTGATTATTTTAGATAACAGGCAAACTATTAGCAGTTATAATTCACCATTGCTAATTTAAACAGGAGCACAATTAGGATCAAGTTTTAGGGCTGAACAATAATCATTAAATGCCTTTTCTTTATCACCTATTTCTTCATATAATACACCTAATCTAGAGTTTATAAATCACCTCTCCGTAAAAAGGCTTAAGATAATTGAGAATCAAGTAGTATTGCCTAATTATAATCACTCAATGCATTTTCTCTATTTCCCATTTCTTCATATAGTAAACCTAATCTAAAGTTTAATATATCACCTCTTCTTAGAAAGGCTTAAGATAATTGAGGATCATGTAATATTGCTTAATTATAATCACTTAATGCATTTTCTCTATTTCCCATTCCTTCATATAATAAACCTAATCTAGAGTTTATAAATCACCTCTCCTTATAAAGGCTTAAGATAATTGAGGATCAAGTAATATTGCTTAATTATAATCACTTAATGCATTTTCTCTATTTCCCATTTCTTCATATAATACACCTAATCTAGAGTTTATAAATCACCTCTCCTTATAAAGGCTTAAGATAATTGAGGATCATGTAATATTGCTTAATTATAATCACTTAATGCATTTTCTCTATTTCCCATTTCTTCATATAATAAACCTAATCTAGAGTTTATAAATCACCTCTCCTTATAAAGGCTTAAGATAATTGAGGATCAAGTAATATTGCTTAATTATAATCACTTAATGCATTTTCTCTATTTCCCATTTCTTCATATAATACACCTAATCTAGAGTTTATAAATCACCTCTCCTTATAAAGGCTTAAGATAATTGAGGATCATGTAATATTGCTTAATTATAATCACTTAATGCATTTTCTCTATTTCCCATTTCTTCATATAATAAACCTAATCTAGAGTTTATAAATCACCTCTCCTTATAAAGGCTTAAGATAATTGAGGATCAAGTAATATTGCTTAATTATAATCACTTAATGCATTTTCTCTATTTCCCATTTCTTCATATAATACACCTAATCTAGAGTTTATAAATCACCTCTCCTTATAAAGGCTTAAGATAATTGAGGATCATGTAATATTGCTTAATTATAATCACTTAATGCATTTTCTCTATTTCCCATTTCTTCATATAATACACCTAATCTAGAGTTTATAAATCACCTCTCCTTATAAAGGCTTAAGATAATTGAGGATCATGTAATATTGCTTAATTATAATCACTCAATGCATTTTCTCTATTTCCCATTTCTTCATATAATACACCTAATCTAGAGTTTATAAATCACCTCTCCGTAAAAAGGCTTAAGATAATTGAGAATCAAGTAGTATTGCCTAATTATAATCACTCAATGCATTTTCTCTATTTCCCATTTCTTCATATAGTAAACCTAATCTAAAGTTTAATATATCACCTCTTCTTAGAAAGGCTTAAGATAATTGAGGATCATGTAATATTGCTTAATTATAATCACTTAATGCATTTTCTCTATTTCCCATTCCTTCATATAATAAACCTAATCTAGAGTTTATAAATCACCTCTCCTTATAAAGGCTTAAGATAATTGAGGATCAAGTAATATTGCTTAATTATAATCACTTAATGCATTTTCTCTATTTCCCATTTCTTCATATAATACACCTAATCTAGAGTTTATATATCACCTCTCTTAAAGAACGCTAATGAAAATTTAGAGTCATGTGTTATTGCTAAACTATACCCACTCAATGCTTCTACATAATTACCCATTTCTTAATATATTAAACCTAATTTAGAAATACTAACTCACCTCTGTTAAAGTACGCTACAGATAATTTAGGATTAAATATTATTGCTTAACTAAAATCGTTTAATGCTGATTATTTGTCACCCAATTCATGATATAATACACCTAAAGTTAATTTTTGTGATGAACCTCTGTTATTATATACAAGAGCAGATGATGGATTAATATAAATTGACTATTCATAATCTTTGAAAGCTTAATCAATATTTCCCTTTCCCTTATTTAATAGACCTTCTTTAAAAAAAAGTATTTACCTCTCTCCATAAACACCTAATGACGAGCAGAATCATCATAAATTTATTCATTAGATTATTCAAGTTCTTTAATTTTAACCCTAAAATTTTAGACATATATATTTAACTGTTTTGTAGACCCTTCTTCTGATATTATTTCAATACAACGCTTGTAATCGTATGAAACTTTTTCAATAGATTTAAACATTTAGTAGATGAAAAGATGTATAAAATTTAATAAATTATTAATTGATTTTTAGTTTTATATTACACTTTTTACCAAGTTTTTCTGTTAAGAGGGACTTGGCTATTAAATTTTATTAAAGATCAAAAAGTCAGATTATATGGTGAAAAAGAGAAATATTTGCCTTATGTTAAATGGTCAGCTTAATAATATACAATATTAACAATCATTGAAAAGAAAATTATAAATAACAATGAATAATTATAAATAAGAATGAACTAATTATGAAATTAATTATAACTTTTAGTAAAAATATTTACTGATTGCTGGCTTAAGAAAATAGATGATCATTCAAAAACATCAAGATTCCTACAATTAGCAATATGATTAGATAGTTAAATAGTAAAAGTCTTACTACAAATAATATTTATATAATAATCTATATTAACAGTGTTTTTATTTTTTCTATTTTTTCTATTTTACAAAAAGAATCGACATTAAGAAAACATTTATAAAAAATGATGATCTTTATTTAAATTTTAAAATCATTAATTCAGCCCTTTCCAGCAAAAGATGTCATGTTTGCTAATGTAGATTGTAAAATTCTTAATTTTCGTTAACTTGCAACCATATCAGTTTCTAAAATTCCATGTTTGACCATTTTCTTTGCCTAATACAATTGTAATTAATTCAAAGTTCTAAATGTTTAAAATTTCTAATTAACTTCCATATTCATTGATTATAATTAACATCCTAAATGTTATTTCCAAATAGCAATCATTGGAGTACTATTGTCACCAAGACCTAATTGATCTAAAATTTTCATCAAGGCTGCTCTTCCCTTTTAAATTGCTTAAAAATAAGGATTAGTTGAGTCTAATCCTACTTCTTATTTTGCAAAATCTAAATCACATCTTCTAGCCATCAAAGCATACATGTAAAGCATGTATTTCATATGAGGATGATTATTATAATAATAGGTTGCAATTTTGTTGATCAATTCTTCTGGAACTCTATCCCAATAAGCTAATTCTGGATGAGTAAAGGAGCATCTGTCACTATTACAATAAGCTTGAACGATGGCTCTCTAACTTTTTATACTTTCGAAGGGTCTAGCAATCTCTCTACTTCCTGCAAAATTGAAAGACTCCACCATAGTTCTGACAACTTAATTTTTCACATACAAGTCATTGTATTCCTTAGCCTTTTACATAGCTCTTTAAGGTACTCCAATTACATTATCTACTTTTATACATATTATTTACCTAATTCAAACAAAAAATCCATATATTCATAAGTAGGTTCGAAATCATCACTATAATTAATATTAGCTAATCCATTTAACAAAAAAGTGAAAGCAACATCTTCACTGGCAAATTCTGATGTAAAATAGTGACCTTAAATTGTTCTTATATGTCTTTTTCGTTGTGCTCTAGTTAAAGCTTAATATTTTGTATGGATCAAAGTATAAGGTCCACCTCCTCTTTCTGGAGTAATACCTTACCCCATGTAAATATACTTTTCTGGATTCCTTTTGTATTCTCTCATATTTCTTAGTTCAGTCAAGATTAATCCATCTCTTTATCGTGTGTCACTACTGGCAATCATAGTTATTTTAGAATCTGTATTGTTTGTTGATGAAAAGGTTTCTAACAAAGGTACTATTTCTACATTCTAAACTTTATATAGATTGATAAGATCATTAACTAAATCATATTATGATTAGGTTTAGAAATTAGCAATAATAACCATATCTGCTGCTTATCCATTGGCATTTAAAAGGGAGATTTCTTTGAATATATTTTTAATCATCGGTTTGATTTTATTAATCTTAAATATAAAAAGAATTAATACATCTGTTAAATCTTCACCAGCTAATCTAATTTGTCCTAATACTCCTGTTAATCTGAAAATTGAATAAAGTTTTTTCAACTTTAATGCTATAAAATAGTCTTTAGAATCATCATTCTTTGCCAGAATGTGATCAAGAATTTGATTAATTTAATCCTCTATTTTTTTGATATTAAAGATAGGCATTTATTAATAGAATTCTTCAAGTGATATCTCTTTCTTAACTCTAAATTTATCACTTAAATCCCTTAAGCTTTTACTATATTCTAAAGCTTATTAATATAATTCTAAAATTTGTTTAAAATCTTCATTCTCATCTAATTTTGCTTCAGAAATATATTCTTTATATTATTATAAGGTTAAGTCAATTGTCAAACCATGTGTATAAGTCATAATACCAATTTCCTAAGAAATATAAATAAAATGTTTACCATTCCTGGATGATTGTCAAAATCAAATGTCAACCAAGTACCTGGAGTCTCAAAATATTCTTCAGGGTGCTACAAACCTAATTCATAAGCTTGAGCTACGGCCTTTATAAGATTAGGTAAATATTAGGTATGATAAATTAATGATTCCTCAATGTATGATACTTTCTATAATATATGAAGGTGGATGATTACATTAAAAACTCGTTATTTATTGGATTAAATAAATAACTTAGCAGCATACTTAAGATACTTATAATCATTTTATTCTATCCCTTGTAGCATTCTACTTATAGCAATCAACTAAGTCAATGAATTTGGTTAAGTTGGATGAGAAGTAAATACATACTTCACTCGATTGATTTTAGACTAAAATTTTATATATAAATATATTAGTACTTTATCTCGTTGATTAAAATATTCGATAATTCTGAATTAGTCAAGATATTCATATCGAGCATAATGACTACTCAATCTATCAAATATCATTAAGCTATAGATGTGCCACAATAATGGTTCTGGTAAATCCTTTTCTTCACAACTCAAGGCCTCCATGTCTTTCCCTTAATAAGTATTATCAAAGTAGATGGACAAGGCATCTTAGAATAATTAAGCTTCTTCTTGAGTCAAATTATCAACATAGGCATCTAAGAGTAAAAGCATAGTCTTTTTTTTTCTGGGGTTGATATGTCGAAAGTAATTATTTCCTAAATCCATGAGTCTTATAGGAGATTATTCAAGCATAGGTTCTTCTTATATGAATTTTTGAATCTCGATGATAGAGCACCTTTTGTCACTAATAAATATTGAACTTTTGATTACTCTGCATTAGCTGCAATCCAAAGCATGTCATTTTCTCTTAATTACTTTTCCTTGACGTTCTCAGATAAGAGATACTATGGCATGTATTTTAAAGTCTAGTTTAGATGAGTTGCTCTTCTAAGATGGGATGTAATCGATCGTATCATATTATTTAAATTAATTATAATTTGTTCTGGAATATTGAAAAATTTCTACTGATAATTTATTCAGGTCTTTAATAATATAAAACAATAGAATGGGAACAATTTTATAATAATTGAACATGAATTAAATTCCATTTTGATTGTCTTCCATATATTTTTTTATTTATTTGTTAGAATCGAAGAATAAAAAAAAAATAAGTAATTCAAAAGGAAATATTCTAAATCCTATGATGAATCTGATCATTATTTCAGGTTTATCTTGCCTACATGATGAAAGTTGCAATCACCGAGTAATCGTAATTTAAATTTATTTTAAAATTATTTTAACTCATATAATTATTAACATAAAAATTAGATTATTAATTTTATATTATTCTTATAAAATACAGATCTTTATTATTTTTCTAATCAATTAGTAAGAATTACTTTAAGATTTATCAATAGCTATTAAATTATAAGCAAAGATTTTGTGATAATATTAGGAACCAATAATCATAAAAGCTTATGTTTTTTTTAATGCAATATTTTAGATTGCTAAAAAATAAAAGACACTAATCCTCTTTGATTTGAATTTAAGTAATTATAATTCTAAATTTTTCATATAAAACTTAATTAATATAGGTTTGATATCGAGGTAAAATTTTAGAAATCTTAATAATATAATTTTTATAGTTTATTCTATGTGCTGAAACTCTTTTTGTTAAACTTTAATTTATATACATATTAAATGAAATGAAGAATGGGTAATGTAAGTAAAACCCTATTAGTTTTTGTATCGGGATTATATTAATCTCTGGAATTTAGTTGAGATCCTTCTAAAATTTGATGAAGTTAATTTTACAATCATAATATTTATTTATTCTAATTCAATTATAATTTCAATTCCTTTATCCTGGTTAAAGCATTAACAGAATGATTTAAAAATTTATCAAAAAATAAAATGTAAATATTACCTTTTTTGATCACAATTGTATTTATATATTTTATTTTGAGGTTCTATGAATGAAAATATATTTCAAGTTAATAGTGTATTTTAGTGATTTATCTAGTTTTTTTTCTATCATAAAATCAATTCTTTAGTATTTGTGACTTTATTTTTATAATTAAACAAGTTGTTCAGAATAAACAAGTACTGGACTGTAAAATTATTCATATTTTTTATATTAAATTAATATCAACATCAAAAAATTGTTATTCTAAGAAATAGTATTTAATTAATTAATGTTGTTAAGATACGAGATATATTTGTGATTTTATTTATTTGGGAATAATATTAGTTTAAGCATAATAATAAGATTTTGACTGAATTCAAATTTAATGATAAAATATTTAATTATATTTCTGTTAAAGATTAATATAATCCTTAAGTATTTCTTATAGAATAGTTTTCATTTGATTAAGTATGGTGATCCAAATTATCTTATATGATAAATATATGCTTTTTATTTTTCATTCTTATTTCTTTATCATAGCTTAAATTCTATATATTTTATAAATCCAATTAAATTATGAGTAGACAATTAAATTTTTACTTTATCCTATTTTATTATATAAATTACCCACATCACCTATATTTTTAACGCTCATGATATATATTTAATTAAAAATTTGAAGATCAGAAAATAATTATTTAAAAATAATTAAATACTCAAATATATATAAGAAACCCAATATTAAGGGTTAATTATTTTAAGTTGAATTCAATTATAAATGGAGCTATTGTTAAGATTTTATTTAATTAAAAGAAATTAATTATTGTTTATGATTAAGATGGGAAGATTCATGTTTTTTGAACAATCAGTATTTTCAATTCTTTTTTTATTGACTAAAAGTTGTCCCTTACTTGATTATGAATAGTCCTTGTTAAGTAGCACAGATCCAATATAAGAAACCATTATAGAAGGCATAGGGTCATCTTAAAGTTTTGCTTTTTGGAGTTTTAGTATTCCAATGTGGGAAGTAAAGAAATACCCTTAGGTTGAATAAAAATTATATGGTGATAATAGAAATGAATAACTGTTATTTTTATTGAAATCACTTGATGATGAGAGAGTGATTATGTTTATGCATCTTGCATTTTCAGATTTCTTACCTTTTGTCTCACATAGACTTTATGTAGAAGAAGAGATTGATAGTAATAATGTGTTTAATTATTTCTATATGTCATCTGAATATGAAGGAATTTGGACTCTTACGATAATAACTATATAATAGAAAAGTGTAATTGTAGAAACGGATGCAATGTCAACACATTAAATACCTGATCTGTCTTAAGAATTGAATAATGTTAAATTCATTATAGGCGGAACAGGAATAGTAAATGTAAATAAATAGATTTTAGATCAATTCATCCCATTAATTGGGGATTTTTAGAGGAAGACTTTCTAAATTAATAAAGTTTACAGATTATTCGACAGGTTCCTTTTAATTTATAAAAGTAAATTGTGCAATTCCTCGTAATGTTGAAGGGAAATAAACTGTAAGTTTGATACCAGGATTGAAGAATTTTGAAGGGGATACATAATTGAATTTTGAAGTGAATTAAGTAGGATAGAAATTTTACATTTCTGGTTGGATAAAACTGGATCCATCAGAGGCTAGTTTTATAACAACATATTTGGTTCTTAGATTAACAACTTTTAAGTTTTATACTGATGAATTGAGATTGGGAGATGAAATACTAAAAGTAACTGTAGATTTAGATCTTGCTGATCCAGCTAATAGTGGATATACTATTATATCTCATCATTATTCTATGCCTATTTAAGGAGCAGTCAATCCTAGTTTTATAGGCAAGAGACGATTAGAAGATCCATTAAGTCCTAATTTCTAATATTAATTGACTAAATGGCATTTTATGGTATTTCAACATGGATTATCAGGAATGTATAAAACAGAAATGAGAATCAATTTTTAATAAGGAGCCTCATATCAATTGAATATCATACCATTTAATGATTTTAATGCATAAGGATTATTTATAAATACAAAATACTATATTATATTTGGAGGTGACTTGACTGTATTTAGAAAATTACGTGGAAAAATGTAAAATTTTCAAATTTGTTACAATTATGAAATAGATGAAGATATATAATTTTGTAAGTTTTTATAATAATAACTTTAAAGAATGTCATCCTACTTGTTTTAATTGTATTGGTCCATTAGCATCTAATTGTATGGGATGTTAAAGTAGTTTAAATAGAAGATGGTCAGAAGATCTTAAGACATGTTTTTGTGATTATGGTTATTTAGAGATTGAAGGAATTTGTTATTCATTTAATGAAATCTATCCAACACTTCAATTTAATGAGATGCCTATGGATTAGACAAGTTCTATTTGTCCATTTGGTTATTTCTATTTGGAAATCAATAAACAATGCATTTAATGGTAATTTCATTATTTATTATATAGTCCATAAAAAACTTCAACAGATTTATTATGTGTTGATTGTTTATTTGATCCTAATACTTGGTCTTTATTTCCTGTATGTAAGACAGACTATGTTACTGAAAAAATTACAATATCTGATGATGCTTATAGAAAATAATATAGATCAAGTGTAGAAAACGATGTTTATTTTATTGATTAGAATTTCAATTTATAATTAATTGAAGGTGCATCTAATTATTGTAATACAGATGATGAATTACCTAATTGTTTTGAATTTATCAATTTAAAGCATTTATAGAATAGAGTATATCTAATTTGTAAAGAGAATCATTATTTTAATAATAATCAATGTATTTTATTAGATATTAATTGTAAACGAACAGAATATAAGGAAGCCAAATGTTTAGAATGTATATAAGGATATTACCTATTAAATGATAAATGTTTATAATGTTCATTTAGATGTTCATCTTGTAATTCATTAAATTGTTTATCTTGTCCATCTGGATATGAACCTATTGGTAGAGAGTGTTAAAGTTGTGGTAATTATTGTTAAAATTGTATTCTTTAAATGAATTTGTATACTCTTTAACCATATATGAAATGTTTAAAATGTGTAAATGATTAGAAATATTTTCTATCTTTGAATGGAGTTGATTGTGTATTGAATACAATAACAAATTGTATATATGCATTTTAAGTAGCTTCAGAAGATAATAAATTGACTACTTTGGATCATTCATTTACACCTTACACTGGATTAATAATTACTAAATGTGCAAAATGTAAAGAACCTTATTCATTTAATGAATAAACATTAAGTTGTGTTATGAGAAAATAAGCTTTATGTTCTTACAATTATCGTTTATTAAGTAGTGATAATGATATTTGTCTTTTTGGACCTACAACATCAATTATTGATCCTGTTTCATTTACTACTGGATGTATTGGACTTAATCAAAATTGTTATACTTGTATTAAAGGTTAAGTGAATACAAAAGTATCATACTTATGTTTGATTTGTAATAATGGTTATTATTCAGAAAAGATGACAGGACAATGTCAACCATGTCCTAATAATCTTCATTGTTTATCTTGTTATTAATAAAATAAGAAATCTAAAGATAATTGGAAAACTGATATTAGACCTTATTATAGATAAGTAATTGATGATAATTTACAATCACATTCTTTTATTGATTATGGAACTTCTTAAAATATAGAAGATTATGAAATTGTCTGTAAATTTTGTTAATCAGGTTATGAATTATACAATAATTTATGTATTAAAGCTTGTCCTGATTCTTGTATTTCATGTATTAAAATAAATAATGAAAATATATGTGTTAAATGTCCAGATTTTATAAATGGTAGATTTTTATCTTTACATGAAAATGAATGTATATAATGTCCAATTAGTTGTTCATTATGTCGTTAAAGAGATTAAGATGAAATTATTGTCATCAATCCTTTATTTAATAATTAAAATTTCAAATATTCATCTAATCAATGTTTAAAACAATTTCATGGTTACTTTGATTAATAATTAGGCATATTTATTGATTGTTAAAATTCTGAATGCATAAGAAAATTATAAATCAATTTAAAT